TGATTGTGAACTTATCAACAGCTTTTTCGAGTTCCTCTTCGGTCTTAAGGGACATTGGGATTGATAGCGTCGAATTTAAGTAGTCGCTGTAAGCTTTCCAATCGATTATTCTATCTGTAAGTGTTGGTTTTTTTGATGCAGTACGAGGCTCATCGCATAGTACCAAACTGAGAAGAGAATGATCAGAACAAAGATCAGAGCTTGCAGTTACAGTATACGGCACTGTCCTGAGTCCTTTAGTAATGAAAAAGTCAAGTAAATCTGGTGTTTTCTGTCTTGAAGTTGGCCAGTAAGTAGGTGTATCAGGTGAGATCGTGTTTAATGAAAGCTGATCGATGGCAGACTTTAGATTTCTTCCTCTAGGAGTACAGAGTCGTGCTCCCCAGGACTGATGTTTGGCATTATAATCACCACCTGCAATAAAACACCGACCGAGATGTTGGAAAAAATTGTAAAACATTGCAGATGTTAGCACGTATCTCGGAGGGCAGTACACTGCAGCGAAGGTAATGGTATGGTGCTGGGTATACAGAGTAATTGCTGTGGATTGTATGTCAGGTGTAATGGGTAATTGTAAAGGGTTGTGTTTTAGTGATTGCTTAATCAGTATTGCCGTACCGCCATGTGCCGTCTTATCAGGGTGGTCAGTTCTATATATTTTGTAGCCTGGAATGTAAAATTTAGAATGTGGAGTCAAGTGTGTTTCAGTGATGAGAGCAATGTCAGTCCGTTTTTCATGTATGTACATGTCAAGTTCAGTCCTGTGTTGGTTTATACCATTTGCGTTCCAGAGAAGAACGGACATGGAGCCCACTGTCAGCCGATTAGTAGCCATAACTGGAGGATAAGGCTTGTGCAACGTGAGACAGTTCTTGGAGAAGGCTGAAAAGAGGCTGGATGAGGTTATTCAATCCACTTACCAAGTTGAAGAGCTGAGCTGAAGCCGGGTGATTGTAAGTCGGTAGTGGCGGTTGAGTAATGCCCTTTTTCATTTCTGGATGCTTTGGCTGGTGAAGGTGATTTTCTGGGACTTCTGTAGGAGAAGTTCGCAGTTTTGGTCCTAGATATTGAGAATCGGGTTTTGAAGAACCTGAATTTGCGGTATGCTGACTTTGCGGAAGAGAAGGAAACTCGTCTATACCTGGGGGTGCGCTAGTTTGTGCTTTTTGGGGACTTTGTATATTTTTACGGAGATTGCGTACTTCCCTCAGTTGTTTTAGAGTTGCACAACCTCTATAATTTGCTGGATGGGATCCGCTACAATTCGCGCATGTTGCTGCGGTCTCTCTTGTCTTTGTGCAGACTGTGCTATCATGTCCTTGGCCACATCTCACGCACTTCGGGGAGTGATTACAGTAAGTCTTTGTGTGGCCATACTGCTGACAACGGGTGCACTGTGGAATCATTCTTTTCTTTCTTGGCTCTTCGATTTTCACTCTAGTATAGTATAAAAATTTGATATCAAAAATTTTTTCATTAAATGTGGCTTTAGAGATATCGATAAAGAACATGGGAAGTGGATTTTTGTATCTGGAAATAACGTTCACAATACTTGTGGCATCGTAGCCTAGGCATTTTAATTCGTATTTTATGGTTTCAATTGGAGTAGCATGGTGTAAGTTTTTTAATACGATTCTTGGATTTCTATCTTCTATTAACTGATAGGTATGGAAATCGGCACCTACCTGTCTTAAGTTAGCTACTATACGTCTATATGTGTCAGAGTTTTCAGGATATACGGTTACTCCTCTTGATGTGGATTTTAGGTTAAAGCTGTTCAAACCTCCTACATTTTGGAGAAATGTGACCAGTTCGGTGTAGTTCTGTACATCATTCAAGTGGATAGGGGGCGGTTTTACAGAAACTGGTTGCTTAGTGGTAGCATCAGACTCGTCACTAATGTTAGTTAAAACTTCAAAACTATTAGTGGTTACTGTTGTAACTTCACTTACCTTTTTAGCTTTTCTTGGGTCTCTGTTATTGTCCATTGAGCGTTTTCTTCCTGTAACGAGTTCCCAATTATTTTCAGTAGTTTGGTTTGAGTTTAAAGCGTCCACATTTTCTGTAGAACTGGCAGATATCGACGTCTCAGACATCGTTTGCGGTGAAACCGCTACACCTAGGTGTGGAGTTCCTATTTCTTGGAGCTAATTGGTTTCAACAACAGAATGCAACAAAAAGAAAAGTTTTCACTGTTAATTTACTCTAAGATTTTGTCAAAAAGATTTTCAAAGAAAAATTAACCTCACTTTTATCAATGTTCACACATGATCCAGCTGATCATCTCCCTATTTTCCTCTTATTTCAATAAAACTTACCTAAAGTCTTCTTCTCGATGTCTTTTAAATATATATATAGAACATACTTCTTCGAAAAGTACTTCCATTTCAAGATGGCGGCCGAAAGATCTATCTCGTATAGACTGTAGCGCCTGAACGAATGTACCGATTTCATTGAAACTTGGCTGAATTGTTTCCTCGATGCCATTTAATTTTATTTACATAACATACTTCAACGACAACAAGCTAAAAAAATTGTTACGAGGTGTAGTAAAAATAACTCAAATATAAAGAATAACTCAAAAATATACAATTTTCAGTAAATTGTTTAATCAAATGTATCAAAGTTATTTAAATTCCCTAAAAATCTATAAAAGTCTCATAGAAATCAGAGCATTATTAGTAAAGATAAGGTCGTTTCAAAAATATTTATTTTATATAATAGAGGAAGGAGATGTTCCGGGTGACGGTCATTAAGAGACTATAATGGTGGAAAAAATATTTCAAATCTTTATATTTTAATTTATCATACAGTACTTATATCATAACATTATATATTTTATCTATCATTATTCATTGATTGAATTAGTGATCTTTACATAATGGACAGGTATTCTGAGAGTCAAATTTGACTACACTTTTACTGACTTATTTCGAAAATTTAATCATTGGCAGTGTTTAGCTACATGATTTTGAGATGACGTAGGGAAATCGCAAGTTAAGGCTGAGTTTGTTTTGTGTAACAGCATAAAAGTTATTGTATTGCGTTTAACAATGTCTCTGGGAATATTCTCAGGAACATATTTGTGATTGAACATTCTTCTCTTATCTTGCTTCTCTGTTAAATATTTCAAATATTTTAATTTATCATGTAGTACTTATATCATAACATTATATATTTTATTTATCATTATTGATTGATTAAATGAGTGAAGAATAAAGGACTGCGTGATTATATTTATATAGATTTCTCAATTGTGGAACATGTTTTTTAATTATTTAATTAAAAGATCGGAATATTTTCGGAAGAGAGCAGTAGTTTATACAAAATATAGTACATGAACATTGAATAAAATATTGCTTTTATAGTTTTAAAATAAATTTGAAAAATATGTGTATAGTAATTAAATTTACAAAAATATACAAGTAATAAACTAAACATAGTCAAAACAAAGTTATTACTGCCAAAGGGAACGCACTATAGGCCAAGTTTGAAACAGCAAAGCCTAACAGCAATCATAGCCCGGAACAACTATGGCTCAAGTAATATGATTTATCCCAACTGCGCGGGCTAGAAGGTGCTCTGTAACTTTATGACCAGCTAACAAACCGTCGAGTTCCTGAAGCTATTACCATCCACCAAACTTAATAATGACAGAATAATTTATCAATACAATTCCAATAACAGATATAGCATTCCTTAAGTTTAAAGGATCATTACTGATGAAGGCATTAAATTATAATGCAATATAAAAAAAACTAAGGTGTGCGGTTTAGGCCACACGATAAAAGTGAAAACTTCAATATTGCGAGATTAATAATATAAAATATAAATTATAAATAATAGCTCATTACAAAGAAGATGAAGATTTCCTTTGCTAACAATATGCATGTCCGATTTTTAGTTTTTGATATATTTTAATCCGTATCTTCAATAAAACTCGTTGTCATTTGGTTTTCTACACTATTTATTCCTTTACAGTTCCCTAACACTGTGTCGCGTTAAGGTAAAATTTTGAATAATAGCCGATCATAGAGAGGTTGAAATGCTGAACAATGCCCTCGATTACAATATGCAGGTCCAATTTTCTTTTTTGAGATATTTTAATCCATATGCAAAAACTCTTCAATTAGTCGACTCCAGCCGACTTTACCAGAGCGTTACGTATCGAAAATCTGACGTATCAATCTAATTCACTCTCCGCAAAATAAGTACAATACGCTCCTAAAGAAATTTTCACCTCAAAAAAGGTAAAGAACAAATAACTGCTAAATAAGGAGACAAATAATAAACAAGAAAAACAAAATCCCGAAATATATTAATACATGTTTGCGTACCTAATATGAATTCAGAGTAATAGTATCACATTAACGGAGAGATACAGAAGATAATGTAATTTTTAATGTCATTTTAATGTGGTATATGTTCTCGTATATTATATATGTAATTCAGAGGCCATATCTAGACGCCAATGACCCTATTAATTCCAAATGAAATATTTATTGTCATCATTTTTCACATAACAACCAGGTGGGATCAAGGCCTCCTGTAACATCAGTCTTCAGTCATTCTTGTTCTGACTGTCAATTACAATCGATCCCTCGAATATGAAGGATTGATCTTGCCTCAGCTGCCACATCACCAGTCCAACGCAGTATGGGGCTTCCAATTGGCCTTCCTCCGAATAGCTGTTATGTAAGTTTTTTTTGGAATTTGGCTATTTGACTTCCTAGCCACGTGGTCGTTCTAGTGTAGTCGACCAACCATTATAAATCTAACCAAATCACTATCCTGGGACAGTTTATGCTGTTCTTCATTTGTTCTTTGTCTCCAGTCTTAGCCTTATATAAACATTCGTTCAACACAAACGCACTTGAAATGGGAACACAAAACACATTCTTATAATTTCAGCATCAACACAATTATATCCGTCTATATTGATCCCTTTAAATTTAATAGCAAAATATTGTGAGAAATTATATATATATTTTTTTTTTCAGGTCCTAGTGGAATATGTCGTTGATACATACAGTGCCGCTGATCTTCCTGGCTGCTCACTGGTTGGTTCCTGGTTGGTAAGTTGTACCAAGCAGTACTTACAATTAATTATAAACAAAATCAATCATTTTGCAGTATAATGGAATGATGGACAATAAAGATAATATTATAAATTTTTTTTTTTGTTAACTTTGTTTCTTCACCCACACCTGTCATAAGCAATGACAATTAGCGGGTCCGCTGTCGGTGAGAGTACAGGTAGTGGCTTAACCGGCGTGATGGAGAGGAATGCCCAGTGGTATACCTTCCTGTCTTGATTTCAGCATCTTTTTAAGCGAGGAAATCCCTCATCCTGCACCTGTTTAATATGTCCATATATTATTGTGAAATCGTGTCCGTATGTGATCGTTAGTTATTGGCATTTGAAGGTCTTTATGTAATTTAATGTTTGTACCATGGACAGTTTTGAATTGAAAAGTTTGTAGTTTTCGTGTTTTGGTCGTTTTGGCTGTCCCATAAATTCGTGAAGCGTGGGTCCTTATGGGCTTTAATAGGTAATTTTAAGTGTTTAGTTTTTGTTTTAAGTTTAATTTTGAGCGTCTTGAGAGAAGTGAGTATAACTGTCGTAGTCTGAGTTTAGTTTAGTTGAGTCGTAGTTTATAGTTTTTCTTTTTTTGTTGATATGTGGGTCCCATGTCATTCTTTTATCGAATATCAGTCCAAGATATTGTATTTTGTCTGTTTGAGGAATTTCGGCAATGTAAATAGGAGGGCATGTTCTATGGCGAAGAGTGAAGGTGATGTATTGTAAGGCTGGTCTTATTGAAGAAAGTTCTGAGCCTTAGCACAGAGAAAAATCTATCAGAAAGAAATAATTGAAGGATAAGATAGTAGGTAGGAGGGAGTATCGTCTTAAGTTTGAAGAGAAGAGCCTTATGCCAGACTCTATCGAATACTTGAGCGACATCCAGAAATACTCGAGTTGCATACAATTTTTGCTCCAGTGCAGTTGCAATGTAGTCAGTCACCCTGTGTAATTGATGGATGGTTGAATGTTGTGGTTGGAATTCAAATTGATGGTCAGGTATTATTTTTCCGTCCTCCAGTATGTTAACAAGTCTTTTGTACAGTAGTTTTTCAAAGATTTTAGAACATATCGGGAGTAGGCTATTGGCCTATATGATGAAGCGGTAAATTTGTATTTGTTTGGTTTATGAGTCATTGTAATGTATGAGTATTACCATTATATAGAAAATTTGGTCGTTCTGAGTATTGTATTGTAAATAGATGTTAAGTAAACAAAAGCTTTTCTAGGCATTTTCTGGAGCACTTGAGCAGTTATCAGGTCATGGCCAGGGGCTTTCATTTTAGGTAATTGTCAAATTTGTTCTGCAACAAGTTTCGGAGTGAAGCAAGCTGAAGGTAATTCCAATTGTATTGGAATGTCTAAAGTGTTTAAAACTTGTTCTTCGTGTTCATTGTTGGTGAAGTCAGTATGTGGAGTAAAAAAAGAACAAAGATGGACAGCGAATAGCTCAGATTTTTCTATTTCTGACACGGCCCAGGAACCATCTTCGTTTCGGAGAGGTGCAGACACTTCACGATGATTTACAAGTTTTTTTGTATGCCTCCATAAGCTCCCATCGTTAGTAGAGAGATCTCTGAGGTAGTTGTCGTGAATTCTAGTTTTAAAACTTTAAATATGTCGTTTTAATTCTTAAAATTTTAAAATAAAGACTAACCAAACATAGTTGGTTTATCAGTTGAAGATCTTTGAAGTCAATGAATTTTTATTTCTATTTTAGATAGAAAAATAATTCTTCGCTTTTGAAAACTATCAGGTTTAGAAAATGTAAACAAGGTTCTATAAAAAGGTTCTATATTTATAAAAAAACCTATAGTGCGTGCTTAAAACCACACTATGGAAGTGAAAAGATGAATAGGGTGGAATTAATAATATAGAATATAAAAGTTTTTGTCCATAAAAAAACTAGGATCAGTTATTTGACGAAACACTATCGAGTGCAACAGAAAATCTAATAGAATCACTTATTTTTTTATTTCTTATTATTATGGCTAATTAAAGAAATATCTATATTGATTTCTGCTTATTGGTTTCTGAATCCCCCATGGAATTTAAATTTTGAGATATTTTAGTCCAAATGTTCAAAACAGTCCAAGTAAACAATGTTATTATTTGGTTTCTTTTGGCGTTTTTTCCCTTTCCGACTATCTGACTCGGCCTCACGTCAAAATACAATTTTGAATTATAGCTCATTTCAAAGAAGATGAAATTCTGAAAATTTCCCTCGCTTAAAGTATACAAGAATTTTAGTGTTTCAGATATTTTAATTTAATTGTAAAAAGGTATAGTTAACAGTTATATTGTCTTTTTTAAATTGTAACGTCCAGATTGATGGTGCTTGAATTAAAGAAACGTTAAATTTAAAAAAAATTTGGTTAGTGCAACACACAACTTTCACCTGCTGCTCTACTTTGAATATACTATATTATTTACTGCCAATGTGGGGCTATTGTAAAATTAATGAAGAGCGTTTTAATCGGAGCTAAATCTTAAAGATAACCAATCATTAACACCAATAAAATTACAAAAACTCTATTTATTATTTCGAGGATAGCCTGTAAAATCGAATTACTCCATCTGCTTTTATAAACCACACAACTTCAGATCCTTTCAGTTGACCAACTCCAATTTAAAAAATGTTTAGTCATGTCATTTTAGTGAAATTTCTAGTTGGAAAAGTTATATCTATACAGACAGTGATTAAGTTGATTCCAGAGTAGGTGGGTGATTTCAGTGTTGAAATATAGAACTGTGAATAAAGGTATAATTTTTTCCACTAGAAACATCACTGAAATTAATTATAAAGAATGTTGAAATCGAATTTAGTCATTCTGTCAACTGATAGGCTCATATATACCCAGAGAGAGATTTGAAAGTACATCTGAATATTTAACCTATAAATGATTATGGATTTAAGGGCTAATAGATATTAAACTGTCATTTTCCATTACAAAGTTTACTAAAATGAAACGAGATTTTTATTGCCTGCCATGGATAGATCAAAAGTTGTAACACTGATTAGATACTGTTGAGATTTCACAAAGGGAAAATTCATCATATGATTCACTAATTTAATTTTCTAAAAGATCACTGATGATTTTTCGAAATAAATGGCCGATATATACGTAATTATTTAAAAATAATATCATCTGGAGTTATTAAACTACAGCAAATGTATTTAAGGTATTAAACAAATCCATGAAATATTTATATATTTCACATCTTCTTTCACATAAGAACAATAAAATAGTATTTTAAACAATGTCATTGTCTTGATTCGGTGGATTTTAAATACTTTCTCAAATAAAAAAAAAAAATTAAAGTTTACATTTAGTAAGAAAATGTCATTTAATTTCCTTGGAAATATGTGATTTACGTTAAATAATGTTAGTTTTCTAAAATTATTATTTATATTTTTTTAGTCAATCTCTGTTACCTTGTACAACATATTTATTTAATTTTTCTAAAATTCTCCGCTTTTCAAAGATATATTATATGTATACCTCCTAACTATTATTTCCGAAGATTCATTTTCGTCCTGAATAAGCATTTTTCTTATTTTCTTCATTATTCAATTATCAAATTCTTTCAAAAGTTACATTTAGCATTTATTTTCGTAACTCTTAATAACGAGAGATAGTTAATTAACGGTAAATTAGAGGAAGAAATGTTGACATTGGGCATTTAAACCCTGTTAAGTGACATCAATGGGGATAAAGCCTAAAAGATATTAAAGAGAACGAGAAATCGTTCTGAGCCGTTTTTGAGAGAGTTGTAAAAATGTGATTCACCACTGGCATAAAGTGGCAATTCCGGTTAGCCGATTTTAAGGGAAAAGTTTCTGTAACATCTCAGTCATACACCTATCTTAAATACGTAATATCAGTTTCGTACGACCTTTCGTTTTTGAGCTAGACTTTTCACACAAACATACAGACCATTTTGCGAGACTTGGTTATTTGGACTCAGGGGACCTCAAAACGTGTATTTCCGTTGAAAACTCAGTTTCGAAAATTCTCACGATCGCAATACACGAAAGTAATAATTTAGGCTCATAAGCTTTATGTGATGGAAGTTGCTCAATCGGTTGGGATTCCAAACACCTGAACCTTGATTCGAGATCAGCTAAGGTAAATTTATTTGTTTTACGTTGTATCAGCCTTGGATGATTTACAAATTAGGTAGCCGGATCATGAAGTTTTCACTAGAATGAAGACCAAAAAGTTAGAATCAAAGGAATAATAGTTATCTATTTCCAATTCTCATCTAATCAGGGTAAGAGAGATGTTATCCAGGCACCTTTAATTCACAGTACTTATGTCCATTTAGCCAATTGGTGATTTTTTTTTTCTTAGTCTGGACGAATAATTTCATAAGACTGATTCTAAAATTATAACAATTAAGAGTTTTCTACATAGTGAAAACAAACAAACAAAATTATACGAATCAAAATTATTTTTCTTCATTTTAACTGATTAATTAATAAGTTTTATTCCACTGACTTTAGCACCAGTGACGCGGTTTAGAGAGTAGCGCCGGGATCTCTTGGAGTCCTGCTTTTTCTTCTATAGTTGGAGGAAGAAGCCTGGCTTGGGGTTCCCTGCCTGATTGTATTGTATTGTATATACGTATGACTGTGTTTTTATGTTTTTAATTTACGTATCTTTAGCCTATATTATTTGTTAATGAACCTAGGTTTTTTTTTATTATTATTTAGTTATTATTTTACTTTTGTTAATTTTATATTTTCGGTATATATGATGTAAATGTTTTCATATATCACTATAATTATTGTCCACGAGACAGATTATTATATGTCTAAATAAATAAATTTAATCCAAAAAAATAGAGGAATCAAAGGAATACGAAATCAAAGGAATACAGGCTAACATGAGCCACATTTAATACGGACTCACATATACATATGGGGTTTTCATCAATACTATCGTTGGTATTATTTAATATTCAATTGTATAGATTATAGTGATTTAA